TTGTAGTGAAAATAATCAAGATTAGAGACAGGGGCTTGGAATAACTCAGGCAATAAATAATGAGAGCCTAAACTAAAATGATAGCATAAGGGTATGAAAAGGTTGGGGGTGGTGGGACATGTTAATGATATTTAAAAGGACAGAATCAGCTGGGCACAGTGGCTCACACCTGTACTTCCAGCTGCTCCAGAGGCTAAGGTAGGAGTATCACTTGAGTCTGGAGTTGGAGACCAGCCTAGGCAATATAGCAAGACCCTATCTCTATAAAAAGGGTGGAACCAACAGTACTGGGTCATTGATTTAATATGGGGGTTGAAAGAAAAGTGAAATATGATGGATACTTGGGATTCTGATTTGGGTGACTACCTTTCACTGAGGTAAGTTATATAGGAGATGGTTTCTGGAAAACAGTAAGGTCAGTTTTTAAACATTGAATCCAAGGTTGTCTTCTGGAATATCCAAATTGGTTATGACCAGAATGTGATTAATTATACTAAGCTAAATGAATAGAAGAATTAGCAACAGTGGCTGGGTGTAGTGGCTCATGCCTGTAATCCCAGCACTTTGGGGAGGCCCAGGTGGGTGGATCACTTGAGGTCAGGAGTTTGAGACCAGCCTGGCCAACATGGTGAAATCTAAAAATACCAAAAAAAGAAAAAAAAAAAAAAAACGCCAGGTGTGGTGGCAGGTGCTTGTAATCCCAGCTACTTGGGAAGCTGAATCAGAATTGCTTGAACCCGGAGGCGGGGGTTGCAGTGAGCCAAGATCGCACCATGGCACTCCAGCCTGGGTGGCAGAGACTGTCTCAAAAATAAAAAAGCAACAGTGTGTATGTAATAGTTGCAAGATGTAAGATCACCCAAAGAGTATGCAGAGGGAAATGAGAGGGACAGAACCCAGAAATATTAATACCCAGAGAGTGAACAGAATGGACCCCAAGAAGTCCCTGAGTCAGATTTTTCCCACTCATCCAGGGGAAAGTTTAGGTCAGTAATGTGAAATACCAGAGGGGTCACATGTCTACAGAAATAAAACCATGTCTCACATTAAGACAAACAAGTAGGAGGGATATTTTGAAAGGCAAGGTGATGTTAAACTTTATTCTGAAAGTAGTTAGAGAGAAAGGCAAGATAGGAGTTGTAGTTAACTGACTGGGAACTATGCAGCAGATGAAACTGGAATAAAGGAAACTCATCAGGAAATGATTATAGTAATAAAGGCCAGAAATAAGGGCTTGCTTGCCTGAGCTAAAAACAGAGGATACAGAGGTTCTAGAAATATTTCAAAGGAATTAACTTTAATTCAGCAATACTCATTGAGAATCAACTGTGTACCTGGCACTGAAGATGAAGTGGTGAGTAAACTTAGACATGGTCCCTGCTATCATGGAGATGGCAGATTGGTCACAATGCTCTTACCTGTCATTTTAGCAATTTTGTTAGATCCTTAATACCTCTGATAATAAACTGTTTTTGGCTGAAAAAATAGCCCTGTGAATTTTACTATGCAGTTAAATAAGAAACTAAAAGCAAACCTAAATACCCCCCAAAACGCTAGTAGAGTCTGTTATATGCATTAGCCTTAATCTAAGGAAATATTTTATTATAGGTCTCCTTGAAGAAAATGATATTTTCAGGAATGCTCAAGCAGGTGTTCTCATCAGCACTAATAGTCATCCAATCTTAAGGAAAAACAGAATATTTGATGGATTTGCTGCAGGTTTGTATTTTCTTTTCTTACCTGTGGCTTACATATAGTTCTGCAAAGTGTTTGATGTGGAGTATATTCATTGTTTTGCTTATTAACTAAAATGTGTAAAGTGTGCTCCTGAAGTGGCTGAATGCCTATTTATTCATTCACTTACGAGAGCACCTAATCAGGTTCTGGATTCTTCTACTATAAGCCAGACTCTTAAGAAATATTGCTGTTATTGCTTAGTCATGATTATGAAACATTTATTGGGATAGAATAAATGCAGGCTTGTATTACCACTAGGAATACAGATAAATTCAGTTCTTCAGATGAATTTACTAATTTAAGTCTGCAACAGAAACACAGATGTTAAAATGGATGCAAATGAAATCCAAGTATCATATATTTAAGACAGGCTACTGCGAAATTGCGGTTTTGACCATAATCGATAAGTGAATGTTACTGTTGGTGGTTGAAATAAATATCTACATTTTATTCAGTAGACATTGAGGGTTAATGTACTTTTATAAAAGAACCAGTTTACATTTGCATGCTAATTTCAGGTTTTTAAGAAGCAGTATAAAGTGATGTATCTACTTGTTTGTAAATTTTACTTCAGGTATTGAAATCACAAATCACGCAACTGCAACACTAGAAGGCAATCAGATTTTTAACAACCGATTTGGAGGCTTATTTTTAGCATCTGGTGTTAATGTGACAATGAAAGGTATGTTGGAGTCTGTTATACCTATAAATACATGCAGTACGCCATGAAAGATATCAGAGGCCGTTTTATAACTTGATTCCTTATGTCACTCCCCAAGTTAGCAACAATTTAAGAGGTTTTGAAAGAAACAGAGCTTTGGTTCTAAATGGTTGAAGTATCTTATACAAGGAAAATTCTATTCTTAGCTGATTTCTTACAATTCATTGGTTAGCTTCATTTAAAGCTCTTAAAAATAGTGGCTCTTCTGTTAGAATAATCCTGTAATCTTTAGTTTTTAAAATATTAACAGTCCTCTGGATTTTTACTTACTCTTTTTTATTACAGATAACAAAATAATGAACAATCAAGATGCCATAGAAAAGGCTGTTAGTAGAGGCCAATGTTTATATAAAATATCAAGTTATACCAGCTATCCCATGCATGATTTCTACAGGTAACTTAGAAATATATTGTGAGTCCTGAAAAGAGGAAGACTGATTTCCTTTTTAAATTAGCAGTGCCTAGCATTTTTGGCTATTTGCCAGTGTTGAGACTATAACTGAAAATTTTATAATCAATCTACTTAAATATCGTGTGTTTAAGACTGTAACTATGGTTAGGCGTGGTGGCTTATGCCCGTAATCCTAGCACTAAACCAGCCTGGGCAACATAGGGAGACCCTGTCTCTACAAAACAAAACAAAGACCATAACTGGAAAAACCTAATACTACAGTAACTGATGTCATGTAACTTATGTTGTGTAACGTATTGTTTTCCTAGAAATTTCAGGGTAAAGATGTCAAGTGTTTGATATATCCCAATCACCATGACAGTTTTGACTCTTCACTCCTCCAAATTGATTCAGCCCAGAAAGATTTGAGAGGCTTTTAAAGTGGAAAGAACTGCCTTTATACAACTTACAAATCATCCCTCTTCCCTCAGAATACAAAGACAGGAAAATCACTTATTCCATTAAAGTTCCTTTTCAGAATTAATCTGGGCTGGAGCCACAAAGAATTTTGTTTTGGTCCTCTTAAAGCCAAAGGTCATAGGGTAATATATAAACAGAATGGAATGTTGTTTTGCATTAATGACATGTTTGAGAAAAGTAATTTAAGCTTTTGCTTTTTAGATGTCATACTTGTAACACCACAGATCGAAATGCCATATGTGTGAACTGCATTAAGAAGTGCCATCAGGGACATGATGTAGAGTTTATTAGACATGATAGGTATGTAGCACACTTGCTTGCTATATTACCCAATTACTTTCCCCCTCACGTTTCTAATTGAGGTTTTTATTTTGCTTTAGGTTTTTCTGTGACTGTGGTGCTGGAACACTGTCTAATCCTTGTACATTAGCTGGTGAGCCTACACATGATACAGATACACTATATGACTCTGCTCCACCTATAGAATCTAATACATTGCAGCACAACTGAATTCCTTCCCTAAAGAAAAAGTCCTGCCATTGTAACATCATAACTTAAAACATTTTTTTTGGAAGAAGATTTAACATATTTGCCCATGCTACAGGAAGAGACTGTATTAAAAATGGATACACAAGGTCAGTTGACACTATGAAGCTCAAGCTACCAAAAAGAAAGTGGCAATATATTGACTCAGGATCTCAAAGCTGGGTGTTTTAGCATTACTGTGTAAAGACTTGAAGGGACAGAAGTGAAGAAAATAAGCTGCAATTTTGTACAGATACCAACTTCTGAAAAGCTGGTGTTTTTACAACTAGCATTGAATGCAGTCCAATTTGCAGTAGTAATCTTCAATAGACAAGCAGCTTTGTTGCTGCCTTTATGGACATGGGTACCAATTGCTTTTGTAATATGGTAAAAATGTGAGCTAGCACTTCTGCGTTCCTTTTGATTTTTTTTTTAACATGTATTCAGATTGAGAAATATGATTTTAATGCTTTAATCTCATGTAGTTTGTTTTTAATTTCAAGCAAAATCTTATTGTACTTGAATGTGCCCTGTTTTGTTAGCACACCTAGACTTGCTGTAACTGTACTCATGTCCCAGTATGTACGTTCTTTCTATGAAAGAGAAAACACTAATCTTAAATTATATCCAGCAATGTTTCTGGTATCCTTTAAGAAAAGTTAAGACTATTATTTTCTTCCCTTCCCTGTGCAGCATTCAAAATCACCCCTAGAAAAAGTGAGTGTTTTAATGAGACTTCCTAGGAAGGGATGCACTGTAAAACAAAAGTATTCTTGTAACTCAGTTTTGTGAAAGGTAAAAAAACTACTATGTTTTAAAGTACACTTTAGAAAGTCTCTTCAAAACAGTCCTGTATTTGAACTCTGTTCATAGTTTTTTTTTGAACAGTTTAGACAAAACTGCTGGAAATTAAAACAATTTCCTGCATTAAGCTGAGACAAGTATATATACAGCCCTATACAGTTTCCTAGCTTTCCCTCCCCCATTTATGTGTATTGGTGACAGTGGGTATAAAACAGCCTGAAAGTGTATGCATGTACCATAACATCTAGACTTAATATATTGTGGAGTATTCAATAACCATTATGTAGAAGGTAGATAAGAATTAAAAGGGTTTAATTTCCTAGAAAGAAAATGGAAAAATGGTCATTTTTAAAAAATAAAGTTTATTAGATCATAATGTTGTCTGAATTTACCAAGTTTGTCAGAAGTCAACTCAAAGCTTCCAATGTAGTCTATAATTCCTTAATCAAAGTCAGCAATTTATGGACAGCTTCAGCATCTACAGTTGACCTTTCACTAGCCAGGCAAACTTCCCTTAAAATTAAAAAAAAAAGAAAAATTTTTTTGGTTTTTCATAGTGCATCCATCCCTCCCACTTTTACTGTTTTTATGAAACTTAAGGTCAGTTATAATTCCATTATAGTTACCGAAATAATCGTAGAGACTGATTCATCTTCTCAAATTCTCTTGCTTTTCTATGTCCCTTTTGAATAACTTCCTCTGGGAGATTAGCAAGCCTTGCTGCATTAAAGCCATAGCTTTTAGGACAAGCTCCCTTAATGAATTTATAGAGGAAGGTAATAGTCTCCTGGCTGGGGTCTTCACATTCATTTTCTACCATGCATGCCTTAAGAAAGAAAAATATTAGCAATACATGTGCTAGCAACAGAAGGGCCCTCTCAAAAAACCGAATTTGTGGAAAAAAACTATTTGCACATACCATATGTCCTAAGCGCACAGCAACATTTTGAGAATAATCTTCCACTAATGAATGGTAGTGAGTTGAAAATAATGTACGACATTTTATAGTCTCAGCAAGTTCTTTAACAACTGCATTTGCTATTGCTGTCCCATCAAATGTTGCAGTACCTCTTCCTGTTAAAGTAAAATATGCATAAGGATGTAACTCAAGGGAATTAAAATAAAAATGCTAGGACAGAAAAATAGCATCTGTTAGTATATCCATGTCTAAAAGCATTCTATAAATAGACCTTGTTTAGCTAAACAAGTCTGCTTAGCAGCCCATGGGGAGTGAGGTTTCTTTTAAATACAGTATCGCTCAAGGTCAGAAACTTCGTGAGTCCTCCTATTAGTGTTCTCATCCCTGTATTATGTTTTATTATAATTTGTTTTATTATAATTGAACAACGTAAGGCCTAGTAATTAATGGGTAATCAAAAGCCTTTCACAATATCACCTTTTATCTGCAACTATGGGTCTGTGCCATAATGGTGAGTGCATGCTCTAAAGACAGTCATATTGTTTAGATGTCCTTCAGATAATCTTCTAGAAAAATTCTTTGGGCCGGGCGCGGTGGCTCAAGCCTGTAATCCCAGCACTTTGGGAGGCCCAGACGGGGGATCACGAGGTCAAGCAGTCGAGACCCATCCTGGCTAACAACGCGGTGAAACCCCGCCTTCTACCTAAAAAACAATGATAAATTAGGCCGGGCGAGTGTGGTGGGCAACCTGTACGCCCAGCTACTCGGGAGGCTGAGGCAGGAGAATGGCGTGAACCCGGGGGGCGCGGGAGCTTGCAGGGCCGGAGATCGGCGCCACTGCACTGCCCAGCCTGGGGCACAGAAGCAAAAAAAAAAAAAAAAAAAAAAAAAAAGAAAAATTCTTTTTTTTTTTTTTTGTAAGATAGCCTTCAAATGAAAAGTTTAATGTCTTACCTATTTTTTTTTTTAGCACCAGAGAATGTGCTGTTGCATGCATAAGTATGCTGGCTTTTTTTTTTTATTCAACAAAAAATGTACTTTCACCTAAAAAAAAAAAAAAATTTTTTTTTTTATTCATATTATATAAATTCTTCTTTTAGGTTATATAGCTATTTTTTTTTTTTCATACTGGTATAAAATATTAAATCTCATTAAGAGACTGTACAGTGATTGGCCGGGCACGGTGGCTCACGCCTGTAATCCCAGCACTTTAGGAGTTTTTTTTTTTCAGATCACCTGAGGTCAGGAGTTCGAGACCAGCCTAACATGTTTTTTTTTTTCTTCTACTAAAAATACAAAAAATTAGCTGGGTGTGATGGCGTTTTTTTTTTTTCCCAGCTACTGGAGAGGCTGAGGTAGGAGAATCACTCGAATTTTTTTTTTTAGGTTGCAGTGAGCCAAGATCATGCCATTGCACTTCAGCTTTTTTTTTTTTTGCGAAACTCCATCTCAAAAAAAAAAAAAGAGACTATGCAATTTTTTTTTTTTGGTGTTTTTAAAGTAACACCAGAAAAATCAAACATTAGATTTTTTTTTTTTTTATACAAGAAGCAAATGTCTTTTATCATATCTAAATGAATGTTTTTTTTTTTAGGTGGGAAACAAAAAACTCACCTGACATTATTCTATCTGATTTTTTTTTTTTAGTAAACACTCTATCAATTGGTGTGAGCCTGCACACTTCATTTTTTTTTTTACAACCCATCTGGGCCATTACAGCTAATAAGCCAGCCTGTGTTTTTTTTTTTAAAAGGTCTTTTATGACTGTTAGCAAGAGTTTTATAGACAGTTTTTTTTTTTCTTTCTTATGAACCCTTATGTAAGAGCTAGGCACTCTAAAATTTTTTTTTTTATCCTGTGTAGGTTGGTTCTATTCTGAAATCCATTTGCTAATTTTTTTTTTTTTGAGGCTGAGAGAGACAAGAGGCATAGGGCCTCACTGGCCTTTTTTTTTTTCAGAGCCTGCTTACTAACCCCACTACCCTAGTGATTCTCAACGTTGGCCAGAATAGAATCACCTAGGAGCTCTTTAAAACTACTAGAGATGCCTAGAATCAATTCCAATCAAGAGAATCCATTTCAGGATGGAATCTCTGCACCCTTTTTTTTTTTAAACATTGTCACAGGTGATTCTGATTTAAAGAAAAAATTTGTTTTTTTTTTTACACACTATTCTGCCTCTCTCTAGCAAACTAGGGGAACAGAAGTATACTATAATGCAGGAGAGCAGCAGGGACCAGCCAATTACTACTTCTATTTTTTTTTTTTTTTTAAAAATACAAAAAAACTTTACAAGTTCTGTGGCTGGTTTTTTTTTTTTTATAAAGGGAAGATAAATACAATGCCTTAAGAATTTTCTTATTTTTTTTTTTAGGCATGGTGGTGCACATCTATAGTCCCAAGCTACTGGGGAGCAGGAGGATGGGTTGAACCTGGGGGTTTGAGGCTGCAGTGAGCTGTGATGGTTTTTTTTTTTTTCAGCCTTGGCAACAACAACAAAAAAAGGGCCAACATGTCTTTTTTTTTTTGCAGTTTCTAACAGTTGCTAGAGGTCATGAACTGTATTTGCTTTTTTTTTTTAGTTGGCCATAGGCTGTTCACATGAAGCATTTCTGCAAATGTTTTTTTTTTTAAGGATAAACCTGTAACATTTCATCTTTTCATACAGCCTTTTTTTTTTTTTTCATTATGACTATACCTACCTTCTGAGGAAATGAATTCAAGTTTTTTTTTTTTAAGACCTGAATGACTGACCTCCTTCCCCTTTCTAACATATATTTTTTTTTTTATTAAGCAGAGATGTTTCAGGTAAATGCTCACTTTTATAACTTTTTTTTTTTTTCCCTTTGCTTTCTATTAAGTCACTGGCTGAATTTTATGTTTTTTTTTTTTGAAAATGATCACCTAAGTATGTTGTTCCTAATGTCACAAATTTTTTTTTTTTAACAAAACCTTAAGAAGCAGTTACCTGTCTCATGAGTGTAGACTTGCCCCCCATATTTGGTCCAGTAACAAGCACACAATAGGCTTTGCCATTTTTTTTTTTTTCTTCCTCACAGCCTATTAGAATGTCATTAGGAATAAAATCATCTCCAAAAAAAGTCTTTGTAATGCAAGGATGGCGTGATCCTTTAAGCTCTAAGAAGGGGGGGGTATCTTCTGGCAACAGAATTACTGGGCGACACATAGGACCTTTTTTTTTTTGACTGTAGTTAGCCAGGCACAGTAAGACATCTGTTAAAAGAGAGGGTAACAAGTGAGGCTTCATCTTTGGAGGTTTTATCAGCCTAAGTGTTTTTTTTTTTTTTATTATAACACGTTTCATTATAAGAGAGAGAACTTGCAATTATTTTTTTTTTTTCTGCCCCCTCAAAATACATCTAACATCTGGACCAGAGAAGTGCCAAGGGAAAGCTAAAAGAGCAGAGGCCAGGCACGGTGGTTCACGCCTGTTTTTTTTTTTTTTCAGGAGACTGAGGCAGGCAGATCACGAGGTAAGCAGTTCTTTTTTTTTTTGACCAACATGGTGAAACCTCGTCTCTACTAAAAATACAAAATTTTTTTTTTTCTAATACAGGTGGCACATGCCTGTAATCCCAGCTACTCAGGTTTTTTTTTTTGGAGAATCACTTGAACCTGGGAGGCAGAGGTTGCAGTGAGTTTTTTTTTTTTCACTGTACTCCAGCCTGGGCAACAGACAGACTCTGTCTCAATTTTTTTTTTTAATAAAAAGCAGAGAGACATGCTACACTTAAGCCTCTTACTTCGCAGAATGTGCCAAAGTTGGCACACTGATATTAAAACAATCTCTGAAGACTGGTTTTTGAACGCCTGTGCTGAGGAAGGATTTTAAATTACCCAGTAACTAATTTTTTTTTTTTAAAAGGAAGTGTATTATTCTGTTCCATTGGATACTTGTGTTTTTTTTTTTTTAGTGTTGTATTACTGTGTTACAAATTCAGGTAAACTACAGTTTTTTTTTTTCAAAAACAGGGCTGGGCGCAGTGGCTTATGCCTGTGATCCCTTTTTTTTTTTATATCAAGGTGGGCAGATCGCTTTGAGGTCAGAAGTTCAAGACCAGCCTGGCCAACATGGTAAAAACCCTGTCTCTACCAAAAATACAAAAATTTTTTTTTTTTGGTGATGACCACCTGTAGTCCCAGCTACTCAGGAGGCTGAAGCAGGAGAATTGTTTGACCCCAGCAGTTCGAGGCTGCTATGAGCTAGTCATCTTTTTTTTTTTGTCTGAAAAGAACAAGACCCCATCTCTAAAAAATTTAAAAATTTTTTTTTTTATAAACCTAAACTATAGAACAGCAATGGTTCCAGGTAATGTTTTTTTTTTTTTTTAAAGAACAAAATTGTTTATGAAGTTGAGATGGTTGCCATTTTTTTTTTTCCTAACTCAGGGCTTTGAAAAATCAATTGCAGGAAAGAATCTTCGACAATTTGGCTAAAGAAAAAAGGAACGATTGACCTTTTAAAATTGTAATTTTTTTTTTTCACTGAAATACAAGGGTTGTAATAAAATGAAATTTTAAAATTTTTTTTTTTTAGATAGTGTAACAAAGCACCTTGAAACAGTATTCACCAAATTTTTTTTTTTTCAACTAAAAATAAAATTTGATCTAAAATAAAGTCTGTCTCATGAAGTATAACACATTTAAAAATCTTTTGGGCTAGGTGCGGTGGCGCATGCCTTTTTTTTTTTCACTTTGGGAGGCTAGGGCGGGTGGGTCACCTGAGATAAGGTTTTTTTTTTTAGCCAGGCCAACATGGCGAAACCCTGTTTCTACTAAAAATATTTTTTTTTTTTGGGCGTGGTGGCTCATGCCCATAGTCCTAGCTACTTCGGATTTTTTTTTTTGAGAATCGCTTGAACCTGGGAGGCGGCAGTTGTAATGAGCCAAGATCGTGCCATTTCACTCCAGCCTGGGCAAGGGCGAGACTCCATCTTAAATTTTTTTTTTTTTTTGGCCAGGCCCCGTGGCTCATGCCTGTAATCCTAGCACTTTTGGGAGACTGGAGCATCACCTGAGGTCAGGAATTTGAGACCAGCCTGGGTTTTTTTTTTTAGCTTCATCTCCCTTCCCCCACCAAAAAAATAAAGCGGGGCTTTTTTTTTTTTACCTATAAATCCTAGCTACCTAGGAGGTAGATATGAGAGGCCTGTCCTGGGTAACGGAGCAAGACACTGTCTGAAAACAAAAACTTTTTATTCAATTTAATTAAAGACTGAAGAAAGGGCCAGGCGCAATGGGTCATGCCTGTAACCTCAGCACTCTGGGAAGCCGAGGCAGGAGGATCACTTGAGCCCAGGAGTTTTTTTTTTTTTCTGGCAAACCGTGAGACCCTATCTCTCTACAAACGTGTAAATATTAGCCATGCATGGTGGTGCGTATCTGTAGTCTCAGCTACCTGGGGAGGCTGAGGTGGAAAGATCATTTAAGCCTGGGAGGTCAAGGCTGCAGTTGCCGTGGTTGTGTCACCATACTCTAGCCTGGGTGACAGAGCAAGACCACGTCTCAAGACTGAAGAAAGGCCAAAGGGCTACTAAGATAAAAGCGAGTTTCAGGTGAGTAACTTTTTTTTTTTTGGGCAGCCTAGTCAGGATGCAAATATGTATATGCATGTCATTTTTTTTTTTATATATACCTTGTTACTTAGGTTTAGAGAGAATACACAGCTGGCATAGAGCACTACGTATGAAAGCCTTAAGAACAAGCTTGTTCAAAGTCTTTTTTTTTTTTTCGATACACTCTACAGCAGACTGCCAGTCCTTGTAATTTTTATTTTTTTTTTTGAACAGTCGTCGCATGCAGTCCTTCAATGATACATCTCTCCTTTTTTTTTTTTTTATGAGATTAGCCAACTTCTTCTCAATAGTTTTGGTCCATTTTTTTTTTTAGCCCTTCTTGGTAGATTTCAATTCGTATTCTTCTGGCAAATTTTTTTTTTTGAAATTCTCAGGAATTTCCAACTGGTAACGGTTCCTACCGATTTTTTTTTTTACTATGGTCCTACAGCCAATTCTGTTGCGCTGTTTCTCTAGTTTTTTTTTTTGGCTCTGTTCATTTTCTCTTATGTCAGCAAGAGCTTGGTCATAATCAGAGTCAAAGCCTGCTTTGGGAGTAATAAGTCCAGTCTTTCGAGCCTTTTTTTTTTTTAAGGCTGTATCCCATCGGTTCAGTTCTGTAGTCAAATCAGGTTTTTTTTTTTCAGGATTTTTTGTCTGCAGAGAGATGACCTGCTTAAGGATTTTTTTTTTTTTACCATCAATGACTTCTTCCATGATCCCTATAATTTTACACATTTTTTTTTTTCCTTCCAGAGCAGAAAGAAAATCAATGATCTTTTTTTTGCTTTTTTTTTTTTCTTCATACATTATAGCCCTGCTATCTGGATGGTTCTGACTCTTTTTTTTTTTCCCAACATTATGAATTTTACTGAGTAGTCTCTCAAGATCTGTTTTTTTTTTTAGAAGCTCTACAACTTCGGAGATTTTGTCAGGCACAACCATGAGGTCTTCTATGGCATCTAGACGATCATTGATAGCATAAGGGCTACAGAGCTTTTTTTTTTTCCATTGCTTTAGGAGCCGCTTACCGAAGGGAGTATGGCAAGTATCAACCCTCTCTAGCAGGGTTCCTTCAGTAGAACCGTTTGTTCCATTCAGTTTTTTTTTTTAGTTGTTTAATGTCACTGCATCTAGCACCATTCGTTGATAGTTTTTTTTTTTGATAGCACCAGATCTTGTAGTGCTGACTATGTCAGAATCCAAGGGAATATATTCTTCAAAATTAGCCATTGATAAAAGCTCCTGATCAATAAGTTTTTTTTTTTGGTAGAAGATACAACCACCTAGAGCAGAGAGGGCCAATTCATTTTTTTTTTTTGGTGTCAACCCAATGGAATCTGACTCTGAAGTCATACCTTTTTTTTTTTTTGGTAACATCACCCCAATGTCATCACTTAGCTTTTCCCGAAATTTTTTTTTTTCAAGGAGAGTTCTCAAAGTTTTGGATGCATCCCAAAACTGGTTTTTTTTTTTCAGACCTTCCTGAAGAGAAGAGGACAATGAACTCTTTAAAATTTTTTTTTTTTCCTTTGAGAGATTTCCTTTTTCAAATAAGACTTGTACTGGTTTTTTTTTTTCCACTAGAGTCCTAAATCTCGAACAATGGCGATCATCTGAAAACTGACCTATGAAAAACTTTCCCAGTGAAGTATCAACAAAGCACACACCATTTTTTTTTTTTTGGCCAGAAGAATCTTCCTCTTTTTCTTTGAGGCTAAGAAGTTTTTTTTTTTAGTTTTCAGAGGGATCACCTTCCAGCACACTGTAAGTCTGTTTTTTTTTTTTAATGATCCTACAGATCTCCCTCCTCACCACTCTGTCATACTTTTTTTTTTTTGCCATCTTTCGGCATCGTGCCTCCATCATTTCCGGAGTCTCAGTCTGTTCCACTCGTGCTACTTTATAGCCCTTCTGCACCAAGGAGTCTGAATAACGGCCAAATGCAATTTCAGGAAAGCCAGAATGGGCCCAGTTACCTTTCATTTTTTTTTTTCCCAGTTCACTGACTCCAATAAGAGCATCCATGTGGTACAGTTTTTTTTTTTTCCCCACCTTATAACAGATGACAAGATCAAAGTTCTGAGACTTTTTTTTTTTCCACTTCCTCATCCCAGGAGTACAGGAATTGAGGAAATCCTTTTTTTTTTTTAGTGTAGATGCATTAAAATCGGGGTGATCAGGCCGCCTCCTTTTTTTTTTTTTTCTCTTTTCCTCCTTAAGCCATTCTAAAGTTTCATGATACTTTTTTTTTTTGCGACTACTGTCATCACCACCTCCACTAACGTGGGCTTGGGTTTTTTTTTTTTGAGGGGCAGAGAAAGCATTCAAAGTATTCTTGGTTTCTGATTTTTTTTTTTTTGCTCGTTTGGTGGCTGAGGGCATTTCCTTCCTAGAACTTTTCCTTTTAAGAGAGCCATTTCCAGTGACCACTCTCTTCCGCTTTCGAGCAACTTTGACAGGGCTGTTTGGGCCTTCACTCTCACTATCCCCCACTCCACTGCTTTTTTTTTTTTTGCTTCCTTCCTCCTTAGTGTCTGGCTTAAATTCCACATCATTTTTTTTTTTGTCACTCTCAGAGTCTGATATGACCCTTCGTTTTTTTATTTTTTTTTTTTTTCGCCTAGATCCTTGTGTCTTAGGCTGTACTTCCTCTTCACTTTTTTTTTTTTTATCTTCTTCACTCTTATCTGTTACATAAGTTGTGCCTACCTTTTTTTTTTTGAAAGAGTATTTAAAAACAAATCAAAATTTGGAAAACCATATTTTTTTTTTTTAGACTTACGATTTTTTGACTTTATAATGGTACCCATGCAGTCACTCTGTTTTTCATTTTTAGTACAGTATTCAATAAATTACATGACATGGTTTTTTTTTTTTTATAAAATAGGCTTTGTGTTACATGATCTTGCCCAACTTTATTTTTTTTTTTAAGTGTTCTGAGTACGTCTGAGATAGGTTAGGCTAAGCCCAAGCTACAACATTTGGTGGGGTAGGTGTATTAAACACATTTTTAGTTTATGTATTTTTTTTTTTAGTTGTGGAGCCATCTGTACTACTGTAAATTCTCTTAATATTTTTTTTTTTTATATACCAAAAAAAGAACCTACCACCAGAAATTAGAAACTTTTTTTTTTTTTTCAACTTCAGTTTCACCTGACATTAAAACAATTGTCATTTTCCATGCCAATAGTTCTCCTGCAAACATGGTGGAAAAAAACTCTCTGGACTTGTTTTTTTTTTTGCAGGCGCCAACCCCACCCCACAAAGTGACATAATACAAGAAGGGTAAGGATTCTCTGCCCACTGAAAGCAGCATTATGAAGGAAGCAGAGTGTTTTTTTTTTTAAGTCGACTCTCTGGCTAAAAGACTAAAACTACAAAAAAGATTTTTTTTTTTCTTGAGTTTGAGTTCAAGTGCAATTCCAAGGGAATGCTATTAAGAGATGCAAGCATTTTGAACTGGGAGGAGGTAAGAAGAGAAGGCAAAATGTTTTTTTTTTTAGCCTCATCTTTTGTTTTACTACGAAGACAATAACATCTTGTTTTTTTTTTTAAAAACACAAAGTGCTGCACCGGGCACAGTAGCAGGTGCCTGCAGAGAGAATCATTGAGCCCAAGAGTTCAAGGTCAGCCTGGCAACACAGTGAGACCCCATCTCTAACTACAGGATTAAGTGATTGCTGTCATGGGAGTTCTATTTTTTTTTTTTCTGTTGGCATGACCATATATCATAAATATCAGGAGGTGATGTTTTTTTTTTTAGCATAAGAAAGAAGTAAGCAACTTATACTGGTTCTAGTGTTTTTTTTTTTTCAATTGGCTGTCTCAACTCAGGCCTAGCACATTCACCTATTATGATCTCCCTCATTTGTTAAACCAGTATTAGGCTAGATGATCTCTGTAGCTGCCATCCAGTTCTAAACCTCTGATAACGTTATGATCCTTAGTTTCAACCTTATTTTTTTTTTTTCCACTTTATCAACTTGCTTATTCCCTATTTCATCTACTGATTTTTTTTTTTAACTTGAAACTGAGCTCAGTTATAGATGAATGTCTTTTAGGTTTTTTTTTTTTAATTTGATAGATCAGAGAATAATGATCTTTCGGCTTCCCTGGGCCACACTGGAAGAATTATCTAGGCCACACATAAAATACACTAACACTAATTTTTTTTTTTGAGCTAAACAACAACAACAACAAAAAAATCACAAAATGTTTTTTTTTTTTTTACGGGCCGGGCGCGGTGGCTCACACCTGTAATCCCAGCACTTTGGGAGGCCGAGACGGGTGGATCACGGTCAGGAGATCGAGACCATCCTGGCTAACACGGTGAAAACCCGTCTCTACTAAAAAATACAAAAAACTAGCCGGGCGAGGTGGCGGGCGCCTATAGTCCCAGCTACTCGGGAGGCTGAGGCAGGAGAATGGCGTGAACCCGGGAGGCGGAGCTTGCAGTGAGCTGAGATCCGGCCACTGCATTTTTTTTTTTGTGACAGAGCGAGGCTCCGAGGCTCCGTCTCAAAAAAAAAATTTTTTTTTTTAAAGTTTACGAATTTGTGTTGGGCCAATTTAAACGCCGTCCTTTTTTTTTTTCTGGACAAGCTTGTTCTAAATTAATTATTTTTTCGCTTCCGTTTTTTTTTTTTTTTTTTTTTGGTGACAGAGTCTTCTTGCTGTTACCTGGGCTTTTTTTTTTTGGTACGATCTTGGCTCACTACAACCTCTGCCTCCCAAGTTCAAGCAATTCTCATGCCTCAGCCTCCTAAGTAATTGGGGCTACAGGTGTGTGCCACCACGCCCAGCTAATTTTTGTATTTTTTACAGAAACAGAGTTTCACTGTGTTGGCCAGGCTGGTCTTGAACTCCTGTCCTCAAGACATCCACCTGCCTCAGCTTCCTAAAGTGCTGGGATTACAGGCATTAACCACCACACCTGGCCCCTAACAAGTTTTAATTCACTTTATCCATGACCATTAAGGTTTGAGCCAAGTGTATTTCTTTTTTTTTTTAACATCTATTCTTACCAATGCAAAATACAACAAAAAAAGTTTTAGAATTAAAAGCATAAAGCTGGGGCTGGGCGCTGGGGCTCACGCCTGTAATTTTTTTTTTTTGGGAGGCCAAGGCAGGCATATCCCTTGAACTCAGGAGTTTTTTTTTTTTTTGGGCAACATAGCGAGACCCCATCTCAATTTTTTTATAAAAATTTTTTTTTTTGATAATTAATTTCTAGGGCCTGACTATACCCTTATACATGTTTTTTTTTTTTTTTACTGTCCCAAGCGCTCTACTTCTTACCAAAATGGTACTTTTTTTTTTTTACCCTGCCAGTAGGTTTGAAAACGTAAGTAAAAAAGATGCTAGCTGTTGAGATTCTAAGTAACCTAACTTATCCTACAGTCCAGGGAAGTACATTTTTTTTTTTGTATATATAATAATACAGCTGGGCGCAGTGGCTCATGCCTGTTTTTTTTTTTCTTTGGAAGGCCGAGGTGGGCAGATCACAAGGTCAGGAGTTTTTTTTTTTTTTGGCCAATATGGTGAAACTCCATTTCTACTAAAAATACAAATTTTTTTTTTTCATGGTGATGTGTGCCTGTAATCCCAGCCACTTGGGAGACTTTTTTTTTTTTATCGCTGAAGCCAGGGAGATGGAAGTTGCAGTGAGCCTAAATTTTTTTTTTTCACTTCAGCCTGGGTGGCAAAGTGAGACTCCGTCTCAAAAAATAAATAAATAAATAAATAATAAAAATACATTAAAAAATTTAAAAAAAAAACTTTTTTTTTTTCATATATAAAACAAGGTATCTTGTTAATCCACCCTCCCCCTTTTTTTTTTTTTCACCCTAACATAAATAACAACTGAATGCTTGCAATTGTCCTTTTTTTTTTTCTTCTTCCTCTTCTGGCTCTGAGGGCTCATCACAAACTGCCAATTCAAGCCTCTTAATCTTGTCTTTATTTAAGGCTTCATCTGCACGTTGCATTGCTCTCAGTATTTCAGGCTTTGCACTGTAAAAATGACCTCCCTTCTGGGCTTTTTTTTTTTTTGAACCTAGAAAGAAATGTATTTATAAATAATAAGGGCTGTTTTTTTTTTTTCACACCTGTAATCCCAGCAGTTCAAGACCAGCCTGAGCAACATAGCAAACCCCATCTCTTTCTTAAAATATATATATGCCAGGCACAGTGGCTCACGCCTGTAATCCAGCATTTTGGGAGGCTTATGGGGGCAGACTACTTGAGGTCAGGAATTCGAGACCAGCCTGGGTAATGTGGTGAAACCCCATCTCTACCAAAAAAATACAAAAATTAGCCAAAGGTGGTGGTATGCACCTATAGTCCCAGCTTTTTTTTTTTTTGAGGTGGGAGAATCACTTAAACCTGGGAGGCAGAGGTTGCTTTTTTTTTTTATTGCACCACTGCACTCCAGCCTGGGCAACAGTGCAAGACCTTTTTTTTTTTGAAAAAAAAAATTGTGTGTGTATATATATATACACACATACTTTTTTTTTTTCAACTTGTGGACACTTGACTCAACCTACAACATTTGCCCTATTTTTTTTTTTTGACAACAATTAAGTATAATTTGTAATGCCCCATTACTTTTTTTTTTTTTTTATAGATCAATAAAGCATACAAGGAATACATATTGAGGGAAAAACTACTGGTGAAACTAAAATCATCAATTTTACTTCCCTGAAGGTGCCCTATTTTTTTTTTTTGGACTTAGTCTCTCTTCTAATGACCTGGGTGTACAGCCCAATTTTTTTTTTTCATACCTCTTCAAGTGAGACAGAAGATTTAAAAGAGGTTTGTTTTTTTTTTTTAAAAATTTGCTGGCTGGGCACAATGGCTCGTACCTGTAATTTTTTTTTTTTGGGAAGCCGAGGTGGGCAGATCATGAGGTCAGGAGTTCAAGTTTTTTTTTTTTAATAAGGTGAAACCCCGTCTCTACTAAAAATACAAAAATTTTTTTTTTTTTGTGGCACATGCCTGTAGTCCCAGCTACTCGGGAGGCTGAAGTTTTTTTTTTTCTTGAACTCAGGAGGCGGAGGTTGCAGTGAGGCAAGATTGCTTTTTTTTTTTCCAGCCTGGGCAACAGAGCAAGACTCCATCTCAAAAATAAATTTTTTTTTTTAAATAAAAACAAATAAACAAAAAAACACTTCAGGAAGACAATTTTTTTTTTTGCAGTTACATGCAGCTATGATAATATGAGTCTGTCCCAAAGTTTTTTTTTTTAGATAAATCTAAATACATAAAAGAATAACCAACCAATGTGCTTTTTTTTTTTGCCTTCACATTTTGAAAGGGTAGCCCCGCTCAGACTCAATGCGTTAAAATTTATTTCTCAAAACAGTTCGTTCCACCAAAATACAACTTTAAGGCTGGGCATGGTGGCTCACACCTGTAATCCCAGCACTTTGGGAGGCCAAGATGAGTGGATCACTTAAGGTCAGGGGTTCAAAAGCAGCCTGGTCAACATGGTGACATCCGTCTCTCGTAAAAATACAAAAATTAACCAGGCGTGGTAGTGCATACCTGTAGTCTCAGCTACTAGGGAGACTGAGGCGGGAGGACCACTTGAACCCAGGAGACAGAGGTTGCATTGAGCCAAGATTGCACCACTGCACTCCAGCCTGGGTGACAAAGTGAGACTCCGTCTCAAAAAAAGAAAAAAGAAACTGCCTCCCAGATTCAAGCAATTCTCCTGCCTCAGCCTCCTGAGTAGCTGAGATTACAGGCACGCGCCACCATGACCAGCTAATTTTTGTATTTTAGTAGAGATGGGGTTTCACCATGTATGGCCAGGTTGGTCTCCAACTCCTGACCTCAGGTCATCTGCCCACCTTAGTTTTTTTTTTTGCTGGGATTACAGGCATGAGCCACCACACCTGGCCTTATTGTTTTTTTTTTTAAGTCATTCTGGGCCGGCCCAGTGGCTCGCGCCTGTAATCCCAGCACTTTGGGAGGCTAAGGTGGGCGGATCACTTAAGGTCAGGAGTTAGAGTTTTTTTTTTTCAACATGGTGAAACCCCAACTCTACTAAAAAATACAAAAATTTTTTTTTTTTGGTGATGGGCACCCATATTCACAGCTACTCAGGAGGCAGAGGCAGGAGAATCGCTTGAACCCAGGAGGCAGAGATTGTAGTGAGCTGAGATTGTGCCATTCCACTCCAGGCTGGGTGATAAAGCGCGACTCTATTGCAAAAAAAATTTTTTTTTTTTCTGCCAAGTATTTTTTTGAATCTCAAAACTGGTCCTAGAATTTTTTTTTTTTATCATCTGGTTCAATAAGAGATCATTTTATATTTTATTTTTTTTTTTTTTTAGATGAAGTCTCACTCTGTTGCCCAGGCTGGAGTGCAGTGGTTTTTTTTTTTCTCACTGCAACCTCCACCTACAGGTTTAAGCAATTCTCTGCTTTTTTTTTTTAAGTAGCTGGGATTACAGCTTATTTTTGTATTTTTAGTAGATTTTTTTTTTTACCATCTTGGTCAGGCTGGTCTTCAACATCTGACCTCGTGATTTTTTTTTTTGGGCCTCCCAAAGTGCTGGGATTACAGGTGTGAGCCACTGCTTTTTTTTTTTTTTTTTTTTTTTTTTTAAAGACTGAGTCTCGCTCTGTCGCCTTTTTTTTTTTGCAGGGGTGTGATCTCGACTCACTGCAACCTCCACCTGCTGGGTTCAAGCGATTCTCTTGCCTCAGCCTCCCAAGTAGCTGGGATTACAGGCATGTGCCACCACGCCCAGCTAATTTTTGTATTTTTAGTAGAGATGGGGTTTCACCATGTTTGCCAGGCTAGTCTCGAACTCCTGACCTGAGGTCATCTGCCCACTTTTTTTTTTTTAAGCGCTGGGATTACAGGTGTGAGCCACTATGCCGAGCCCCTTTTTTTTTTTAATGAGATTCATTTTAAATACAAGTAACGGTATCAGAAAATAAGTTACTTTAGCCAGATCACCCAACTACTTGGGAGTCTGATGCAGGAGGATCACTGGAGGCTAAGAACCACCCTGGACAACATAGCAAGACCTTCATCTCTTTTTTTTTTTTTTAAAAAAAACTATTTAAAAATTAGCCAGGTATGGTGGCAGACACCTCTAGTCCCAGTTACTGAGGAGGCTAAAGCAGGGGGGAATCACTTGAGCTTTTTTTTTTTAGGCTCCAGTGAGCTATGATCCCAACACTATACTCCAGGCTTTTTTTTTTTTTGAGACCCCCATCTATTGAAAACAAAACGAAAAAGTTGGCTTTTTTTTTTTTCATGGTGGCTCATGCCTATAGTCTCAGCACTTTGGGAGGCTTTTTTTTTTTTACTGCTTGAGCTCAGGCAGGAGTTTGAGACCAGCTTGGGCAACATGGCAAAACTCTGTCTCTATTTCTTTTAAAAGGATTAAAAGAAAAAACATTTTTTTTTTTTTGGCCAAGATTATATGACAAGTTGGTAGAAGAGAGAACAATTTTTTTTTTTCCTCTTTCCACCTGTATGTCAGATCACCATTTAGATTTAATTTTTTTTTTTTTGTCCCCAACCCTTTTTTGTAGGATGAGCACTATGATGAAATTTTTTTTTTTTGGGAATTTCCCAGTTATGTGGGAAACTGACCCTTGTTCGGTTTTTTTTTTTCTGAGTTCAACAATGTACTAGACTGGAGACTCTTGGGAGGCCGAAGTGCGCAGATCACCTGAGGTCAGAAGTTGGAGACCAGCCTGGCCAACATTTTTTTTTTTCATCTCTACTAAAAATACAAAAATTAGCTGGGCAGCCAGGCTTTTTTTTTTTCGCCTATAATCCCAGCACTCTGGGAGGGGGAAGTGGGTGGATTTTTTTTTTTCAGGAGTTCAAGACCAGCTTGGCCAACATGGTGAAACCCCGTTTTTTTTTTTAATACATAAAATTAGCTGGGCATGGTGACGTGCACCTGTAATTTTTTTTTTTCGGGAGGCTGAGGCAGGAGAATCACTTGAACCCAGGAAGTGTTTTTTTTTTTGAGCTGAGATTGCGCCATTGCACTCCAGCCTGGGCCAAAAGTTTTTTTTTTTATCTCAAAAAAAAAAAAAAAAAAATAGCCAGGCAACGTGGCTTTTTTTTTTTATCCCAAGCTACTCAAGAGGCTGAGGTAGGAGAAACTCTTGAACCCAGAGGCAGAGGTTGCAGTGGGCCAAGATCGAGCTGCTGCACTCCAGCCTGGGCAACAGAGTGAGACTCTGTCTCCAAAAAAAAAAAAAAGAGAATTTGTGCAAGAGATGATGGGGTGCACCTAGCCCAAGTGAAGCTAAACATGCAGGGCTTTTTTTTTTTTTGATAAATAAGACTAGACCTGGGAAGAGAAAGTTATGGTTCTTTTTTTTTTTTGTGAAATTCAACTCAGATGTGCTCATGAGTGAACAGTTTGGAGGCCAGGTAGTGTGCATCTCCATCTTTCCTAGAGAATGTCGCTGATCTATTTTTTTTTTTTCCTGATGATATTAACTTTATCTTGGACTCTTCAAGATGGGGTTTTTTTTTTTTTTACCCTTCTTATATTAAGGGTATAATACTGCTGTAAGTCTTTTTTTTTTTAGAAATAAAAATTCCATTCTACAAAACAAAACAGCTAAAGATCACGTTATATCCTTTTCCCATGCCAGAAGCTTTCACAACTACCACCCTTGCTTTTTTTTTTTGTAAAATACACTTAATTTCACCATATGGAAAAAAGTCTGTCTTTTTTTTTTTCTCTCTCTCTCTCACACACACACACACACACACACACACACTTTTTTTTTTTGACTCTTACCTGTATATGGCTTTAAAAGTCTTTTGCTAACCTTTTTTTTTTTTGGGCTGTCATCAAAAAACTGTACATGAACACGGACTGATTTCCCTTTCTCGCGGATGAATGTTCCATCAAAGGGGTGGTTGTAAACCAGACAAGGCCACCAGGGGTAACCCTCCATCTTGGCCCAAACCAAATCTCCTGGTGAGAAGTCACAACTGTTGCCAAAAGGAAATACATAACTTAGTTAATATTTGGTCATTTTTTTTTTTAGGCAGTTACCTACAAATAAACAATTCCAAGAAAGGTATCATTAAGACTCCTTTGAAGTCTTCTGGCATTAATATTGAAGCACAGAAATTCTAGAATAATTTTTAAAGTCACACATTCAAGTCATTTTAAAAACGTAAGCAAGCTGATATCATAGTGCATATTTAACTATGAAGACAAACACAAATATAGTTATGTTATTAGGGTAAGAAACTTACTCAGAATCAAAGTTTAAAAACCATGGCAGAATTTTTTTTTTTTTCTGATGGCAGGAAAAAGGCATGGACTCACTGTATATGCTCTTTTTTTTTTTTGCTCCTATACAATATGGTATGTACATATCAGAAACAGGATCTTTTTTTTTTTATTATTATAAAGCATACTGATTATATAATTTACTAATTAAGTTTTTTTTTTTATTCATTAGACTTGCTTGGAATCTTTCTCTTACAATCCTATTTTTTTTTTTTGCTACCTAACACTCTATTACCCTCCCCCTACAAACTAGTTTTTTTTTTTTTTTCAAGTCAACAAGTGAGTGCCTAACGTGCCAGAGTATATATTTTTTTTTTTTATCAAAAACAGATTTTGAATCTTCACAAAAATAGATTTAGCTTTTTTTTTTTTCAGGGGCAGGGGGGAGGAATCTAACAAAATACAGAAGAGCTGCCCGTCAGTGATGGAGAGGCCACAAACTGCTGATAATCCCTGCCTAAGTATTTTTTTTTTTGGCCTACTTAAAGGTTTCACTGAATAACTTCAAAATTAAAAGAGGCACACAACAAGAACATTTTAGACATTTTAGAATAACAATTAGCCAATTTTTTTTTTTTTATTTTGACCCAATCATGAAATATAAAGTCTCCCTTTCTTCATTTTTTTTTTTTATAGGCTGGGCGCAGTGGCTCACGCATGTAACGTGAGCAATTTGGGCCAAGAGGGAGATCTCTTGGGACCAGGAATTCAAGACCCATCTAAGCAATGTAGTAAGGCATGGTCTCCACTTAAAATTTTAAAAAATTAGCTGGTTATGGTGGCACACACCCCTGTAGTCCCAGCTACTTTAGAGGCCAAGAAGGGAGGATCACTTGAGCCCACGAGTTTGAGACCAGCCTGGGCAACATAGTGAGACCTCTTTTTTTTTTTAAAATCCAAAAAAAATTAACCAAGTGTGGTGGCACGCACCTTTTTTTTTTTTCACTAGGGAGGCTAAGATAGGAAGATCACCTTAGCCTGAGGGGGTTCAGACTGCAGCAAGACCCTATCTCCAAAAAACTAATAATAAAAATAATTTTTTTTTTTTGACTGAGACCTGAAAGGCATGTGCAAAAAGGACCTCATTTTTTTTTTTTTTTATCTATAACTATAATATGTAACCAAGTTTTCTTTTTTTTGTTTTTTTTTTTCGGTGGGCAGGACAGGTTCTTACTCTGTCACTCAGACTGGAGTGCAGTGGCGTGATCTTGGCTCACCAGCCTCTGCCTCCTGGGTTCAAGCGATTTTTTTTTTTCAGCCTCCCGAGTAGCTGGGATTACAGGCGTGCATCACTACCTCGCAGCTAATTTTTGTATTTTCAGTAGAGGTGGGGTTTCACCGTGTTGGCTTTTTTTTTTTTGAACTCCTGACCTCAAATGATCCACCTGCCTCAGACTCCCTTTTTTTTTTTATTACAGCGTGAGCCACCACACCTAGCCGCCGCTTTCTTTTTTTTTTTTTTTTTTTTTTTTAGAACGGGGCTCATTCTTTCACCCAAACTGGGGGGTAGTTTTTTTTTTTTTTTTTCCAGGGCTCAATCCATCCTCCCACCTCAGCCTCCTGAGTAGTTTTTTTTTTTGGCACGTACCACAACACCTGGCTTATTTTTGCATTTTTTTGTAGAGTCAGGGTTTTGCCATGTTGGCCAGGCTCGTCTCAAACTCCTGACCTCTTTTTTTTTTTCCGCCTTGGCCTCTCAAAGTGCTAGCATTACAGGCATAAGCTTTTTTTTTTTGCCAAATAAAGTATTTTTAACATATAAGTTAAGCATTCTAGTTTTTTTTTTTAGTAAATACAGTAGGCTCAACAAACGTATCCTTGGGTTCCATTTTTTTTTTTACCAACCTAGATTAAAAATTTTAAATCAAAAATTTAAAACCTTTTTTTTTTTGTGGCCAGGTGTGATGGCTCATGCCTGTAATTCCAACACTTTGGGAGGCTGAGGCAGGAGGACAGCTTGAGCCTGGGAGGTTAAAGGTGCAGTTTTTTTTTTTTACTGTACTGCACTTTAGTCTGGGCAACAGAGCAAGACTCTGTTTTTTTTTTTAGGAAAAAAAATACAAAATTTAAAATATAGTTGAACAACTGTTTTTTTTTTTTTTACAGTGTATTAAGCATTGTAAGTAATCTAGAGATAAAGTTTTTTTTTTTATGTGTATAGGTTATATGCAAATACTACATTTCATGAGGGATTTTTTTTTTTAAGGATTTGGGTATTCACAGGAGGGTCCTGCAACCAATCCCCCTCAGATACAAAGGGAGGAGGGAGGACTGTAACTTTAGTCTTAGAAAAGGACTGTTACCTTAGAACTCTGTCATGTGTAAAATGCAGTACAAATTGTTTTAAATTTTTTTTTTTGTCTCATGCTTTAAAAGATCACTAGAAAAGAATTACTTCATTTTTTTTTTTTCAATTAAAAAAATAATGTCTTCAATTTGTTTACAAGATAAATTTTTTTTTTTACTAGGAAAAAAATGTGTGAAAAGCTGAATCCAACCATTATCAGTTTTGAAATAAATTCCTTTTTGAAATAAAATGTTATTAGAAACATAAGCTTTTTTTTTTTAAATTTTGCTTTTCAACATCATTTTATCCTTTATTACCATTTTTTTTTTTTTATTTCACATATAATTTCTCTGCTGTTAAGAAACAGCAGTATTTTTTTTTTTTGGTGGCTCAGGCCTGTAATCCCAGCATTCTGGGAGGCCAAGACAAGTGGATCACGAGGTCAGGAGTTCAAGACCAGCCTGGCCAAGATGGTGATTTTTTTTTTTTACTAAAAATACAAAAATTAGCCAGGTGTGGTGGCAGAGGCTTTTTTTTTTTAGCTACTCGGGAGCCTGAGGCAGGAGAATCACTTGAACCCATTTTTTTTTTTTTGCAGTGAGCCCAGAACATGTCACTGCATTCTAGCCTGGGTTTTTTTTTTTGTCTCACAAAAAAAAGAAAAAAGAAAGAAAGAAACAGCAGTTTTTTTTTTTTGGCATGGTGGCTCACACCTATAATCCCAGCATTTTGGGAGGATGAGGCAGGCAGATCACCTGAGGTCAAGAGTTCAAGACCACCAGCCTGGTCAACATGGTGAAACCCCGTCTCTACTAAAAAATACAAAAATTAACTGGGCATGGTGGCAGGTGCCTGTAATCCCAGCTACTCGGGAGGCTGAAGCAAGAGAATCCTTTTTTTTTTTGAGGTGGAGGTTGCAGTGAGCCCAGATCACGCCACTGCACTTTTTTTTTTTTAACAGGGTGAGACTCCAAAAAAAAAAAAAAAAAAAGGAAAATTTTTTTTTTTGCAGAATAGCAGTAAGCTATAAAATGCTAAGACTAAAAATTTTTTTTTTTTTCAGTTCCTCCAATGCTAAAAAGCTTGAAGAAAAAGAGTACTACTGAACATCTTGGGCCCAGGAAACAGTGGTTTCTAAGCCAAAAAAGATAATTTTTTTTTTTTTAAAATGCATTGTGTAACAAAACTAAAATCTTAAATATTTCTCAAAATTTTTCTTCACTCAATGCTAGCAAAGGAATTCTTTTTTTGTGTGTAAACTTGAATTCTTTAAAGGTAATTTTAAAATTTTATCTGTGGTAATCCTGCATTTTTTTTTTTTGCCAAAACAGGCCAGGTGTGGCAGCTCACACCTATGATTCTTTTTTTTTTTGAGGATCTCTTGAGAGCCCAGTAATTTGAGACCAGTCTGGGCTACATAGTGAAATCTTGTCTCTAAATTTAAAAATTAGCCAGGTATGGGATGGTGTGCACCTGGGGTCCCAGCTACTCAGAAAGCTGAGGTGGGAGGATTGCTTAAGCTGGATAGATCGAGGGTGCAGTGAGCTGAGATCTGCCACTGTACTTCAGCCTGGGCAACAGAGCAAAACACTGCCTGCCGCCACCGCTCCTGCCCTCTAAAAACACCTTAAATTATGATTTTATGATTTTGCAAGTGCTTTTAAAGCTTTAAGTTTTTTTTTTTATGTCTGGTATTCTTGGGGTTTTTAAAGACACTGGGGAAAATTTTTTTTTTTAACAGCTGAAAGGTCACAAAATAAATGTAAAAACTTTGATATTTTTTTTTTTGACCTTGTCTAAATATACACTAAACAGACCTTTTGAATTTTGTTTTAAAATTACATTATTTTTGCTTTCTCTTTAGTCCATAATTTTGGTGTCTTTTTTTTTTTGTTCCTAAAATATATAATCAACATTTTCACCAACTTTTTTTTTTTTTTTTTTTTTGGCAGACAGGATCTCACTCTGCCACCCTAGCTGGAGTGTTTTTTTTTTTCTCTTTGGCTCACTGCAGGCTCAACCTCCTGGACTCAAGTGTTTTTTTTTTTTTAGTCTCCCAAAGACCTGGGACTACAGGCACACGCCACCATTTTTTTTTTTTTTTCATATTTTTTGGAGACAGGGTCTAGCCATGTTGGCTTTTTTTTTTTTTCCTAAATGTTGGGATTACACGCATGAGCCACTGCGCCTAGCTTTTTTTTTTTTTTCTTAAAACCTATAGAAACATTAACCACAGAGAAAATAATTTTTTTTTTTCCACATTATAATCAATAATTTGTTCATCAAAAGATGCCATATTTTTTTTTTTGGTGGCTCACACTTGTAATCCCAACAGGTTGGGACGCTGAATTTTTTTTTTTTGAAGTGGGAACATCGCTTGAGAGCAAGAGTTCAAGACCAGCCTAGGCAACATAGTGAGACCTCTATTATTCAACAACAAAACTATAAACTAATTTTTTTTTTTCATTGTGGAAGAAGACATTTACATCACACACAACTGACAAATTTTTTTTTTTAAAAAGAAACAGCAAAAGACAAACACTTCAGCACAAGAGGAAATCTAAATGACAAACATTAAAAGATGCTCAGCCAGGCGCGGTGGCTCACGCCTGTAATCCCAACACTTTGGGAAGCTGAGGTGGGTGGATCACCTGAGGTCAGGAGTTTGCGACCAGCCTGGCCAACATGGTGAAACCCCATCTCTACTATAAAATTTTTTTTTTTCTGGACGTGGTGGCAGGCACCTGTAATACCAGCTACTTGGGTTTTTTTTTTTGGAGAATCTCTTGAACCCGGGAGGCAGAGGTTGCAGTGAGCTTTTTTTTTTTCACTGCACTCCAGCTTGGGCAACCAGAGTGAAACTCCGTCTTTTTTTTTTTTAAGATGCTCAACATGTTTTAAGGCTTAAATGATTCAGGGAGTTTTTTTTTTTGTCTCTGTAGCTCATCAGACTGTTCATGATTGGATCTCTGCTTTTTTTTTTTAATGTTCCCTCCTCCTCCTTTCATCCTACCCACCATTTGCATTTTTTTTTTTTCCTGAACCAGCTTCCCACTCTCACTATAATCTGTCTAACCCTATTTTTGTCCTTCTGGTTTCGTTTACAGAGCTGAGAGCCTAGCCTGACCCACATCCTCTCCGTCCCCTTTCCACTTGGGAGTCTAGAATTGCCTCTTTGCTTTTTTTTTTTTTTGGTTGAATCCAGGATCCATAATGCCTAATGCTGTGCTCGGTTTTTTTTTTTACACTGTAGTTTCTTTAGAAACCTAGTATCAAATGCCCATCTTTTTTTTTTTCCCTGGAATCCTCTCCATAATGGGAGGTGAAGTATATACAATTTTTTTTTTTTACAAGTATCTTAAACTCAAACCTCAAGAAACAAATAACACTTTTTTTTTTTTATGAATGTAAAGTACATCCTTACAATAAATAGACCCATTTTTTTTTTTTTTAACAATCAATTCATGCTCAGGTAAACAATACATCATGCTTTTCTAACCGTGAGTTTGTTATTGCGGATGCTGGCTCTGTTCCCCACAAGCAGATTCTACTAATGCACAACTACCTATATTTAAACTGCGGGAACCGGTCGCTTAATTTTTTTTTTTACTATAATTACACTTAGAAAAATCTCAGAATTCCTTTAAGATTTTTTTTTTTGGATTTAAATGGATTTGAAATCCATTATTCAAGAGCACTAATTTTTTTTTTTGCACGGTAGCTCACGCCTGTTATCCCAGCACTTTGGGAGGCCGAGGTAGGTGGATCACTTGAGGTTAGCAGTTCCAAGACCAGCCTGGCCAACATGGTGAAATCCCATGGTGAAAAATTAGCCGGGCGGCGGTGGCGCACTTCCTTTTTTTTTTTTACTCCGGAAGCTAAGGCAGGAGAATCGCTTGAACGCAGGAAGTAGAGGGTGCAGTGAGCCGAGAAAGCGCCACAGCACTACAGCCTGGGCGACAGAGCGAGACTCCATCTCAAAACAAAAACAAAACAAAAAACACTAGCTGGCTTTTTTTTTTTTGTTATTTTTTCTGAGCCTCTATTTCTTCATTTGTTCAAATATTTTTTTTTTTACCATTAAACTTTGTGTTTAATATCTGGTCAACGGCCGGGCTTTTTTTTTTTTGCCTGTAATCCCAGCACTTTGGTAGGCAGAGGCGGGCAGATCAAGAGGTCAGCAGTTCGAGACCAGCCTGGCCAACGTAGTGAAACCTGTCTTTTTTTTTTTTACAAAAATAAGCCAGGCGTGGTGGCGCGCACCTGTAGTCCCTTTTTTTTTTTAAGCTAAGGCAGGATAATCTCTTGATCCCGGGAGGCAGAGGTTTTTTTTTTTCAAAATCACGCCACTACACTCCAGCCTGGGCAACACAGCAAGACTCCGTCTCAAAATATATATATATGTATCTGGCAAACAGTAAAAGCGAGCTTTTCAAAATGTCGCCCACTGCCCGGATAAAAAGCCCTAAACAGGCCGGCCGTTTTTTTTTTTGTCTGTAATCCCAGCACTTTGGTAGGCCGAGGCGGAGGGATTTTTTTTTTTTGGGAATTCCAAGACCAGCCCGACCAACAAGGAAAAAACCCCTTTTTTTTTTTAAATACAAAATTAGCTGGGTGTGGTGGTGCATTCTTGTAATTTTTTTTTTTTGGGAAGCTGAAGATGGGGAATCGCTTGAACCAGGGAGGCGGAGGTTTCGGTGAGCTGAGATCGCGCCATTGCACTCCAGTCTGGGCTTGAGAGTTTTTTTTTTTCAATAAGGAAAAACAAAAAAGCACTGAACTGCCCAAAACGTTTTTTTTTTTTCCGGCCGGCTTCCCCAGAGTCGCGTCCACACATCTTTGACCTTTTTTTTTTTAAGGCCTCTAAAAACTCACCCTCAACTTCGAAAAAATTACAATGCCCCATAAAAATTACACTGTTTCATAAAATAAAGTATTTTCCACTCGACTTTTTTTTTTTCGTGCGTCAAAATATAGCTTCTATTTTCATTTGTGTCGGTGCACGTGGTCTACCTACTGGAGGACTCAGCCCGATCCCAGCACTTCGGCTCCCCTCGGCCCCGCCCCGCCCGCACCCCGCCCAATCAGGCCCCGTGGTCCCCACGGTGACACACCCCCCGCGCTAACAGCTCCTGGCCCACCCCCTCGGCGGCCCCTTTTTTTTTTTTAAGACCCACCGTCCCCAAGGCGTCTAGGCGACCGCGACTCTTTTTTTTTTTTAAGTGTCTACCTCGATCGACTACTGGAGCCCCAACTCACTGTTTTTTTTTTTGCCGAGGAACCTCCTTTTGCACCCCACATCACCTGGCTCTCTTTTTTTTTTTTCCCGCAGGCATTCCTCCTTCCCGCCACCCCGCCCCCTGCATTTTTTTTTTTACGGGCCCCGCGCCTTCCCCTTCTGGCCCCACCCCCAATGCTTTTTTTTTTTGGGCCCCCGCCCCAGCCAGAGCTGCGCGGGTCGCCCCTTCCTTTTTTTTTTTCCCCCACCTGGCGGGACGCGTCTCCTCCTTCCAAAAGGCCCTTTTTTTTTTTGTCTCCCCTGCAGCCTTCTTCCTGCACAGCCTTTCTCCTCCTTTTTTTTTTTCAAGCTACACCCCCAAACGCTCCAGATTCGACCCCCGCACTTTTTTTTTTTTACTCTGCGGTCCTGCCTCCTCCAATCCCAGGGCCAGGCCGTTTTTTTTTTTTCCTCCTGTGAGAGTCTCCCCTCCCCGGGTTCCGAGCGCCCCGCCGCTATGCCCCCGCCTTCGACCCCACCCCCACTCCGCTACCTGGTGGGGGTTTTTTTTTTTGCGGATCTCCGCAGCCCTCCGTTGAGGTTCTTCGCCTTAGGTTTTTTTTTTTAGCGCGCCGAGGGCCTGGGCCCAGGCCCAGCCTCGCTCCAGTTTTTTTTTTTGCCTAGGGAAGGAGAGGCCCCGGGGACAGCGGCGGCACGGCCACCTTCGCGAGAGGCCCTGGCCGAGGCCTTGTTGGCATCACTCAGCGCCGGAGACTTGGGGAAGAAGCTGTACAGGGTGCTCTGTCGCGACATAGCGACAGCCGACAAGGCCCAACCGTTCTGTCGGACGGAGCGCCCAAATGCACCGCACCTACTTTTTTTTTTTTGCTGGCGGGAAACCTGGGGGGAGGCGCGCTCCGCCGGAGGTTTTTTTTTTTCAGTGGCCAATCAACAGGCGCCTCGCCGTGCGCCGGCGGTGTTTTTTTTTTTCCGCCCCCGGGCGCGCGGCGACGTAGGGAGGGGCGGGGCTGTTTTTTTTTTTGGGAGGGGCCAGCGCTGCTGCCGACGCCTGGGCCCCGCGCGGGGAATTGCTGAGCGTCTCTTCCCTTACCCTGCGGGGCTGGCCAGGCCGGAACACTCCGACCCGAGGTTGGTTGCGGCTGCGGGGCTAGCGGGCTCGGAAAGCCCTCCCTCTCTGGAGCGGAAGCGGGAACAGCGGGGACGCGCACCGCCTGGGCGTTTTTTTTTTTGGGGACCCGAAGGGCCACGGAAAGGGGCTCGCGGGGAGAAATTTTTTTTTTTCTCGCGTGACCTCCTGTCGTTAGAGCACTTTCGCAAGGAGCTTTTTTTTTTTGGACTAAAGTTTAGTCAGCAGTTCACCTTCACGTTGTATTCTTTTTTTTTTTAGAGTAGGCACTTGGTAAATGCTAAATGAATATTGTAATAGTTTTTTTTTTTGATGCTCTTGTGTATGGTAAAAACCTGCAGCTGTACAAAGCTTTCCTTTGCCAGGCACTGATCCCAGTATTTTACATCTAATAACTAAATCGATCCTTTGAATAACCTGTGAGGTAGGTACTTAAGGGCCACAGTCCGTTATCTGTTTTTTTTTTTCCAGGTGTGTCTTTACAGGATTTTTCAAATTTTAGAAAGCTTTTTTTTTTTTAGGCCGGGCGCGGTGGCTCACGCCTGTAATCCCAACACTTTTTTTTTTTTTTGCGGGTGGATCACCTGAGGTCAGGCGTTGAAGACCAGCCTAGTCAACATGGTGAAACCCCATCTCTACTAAAAATACAAAAATTAGCCGGGCGTGGCGGCGGGCGCCTGTAATCCCAGCTACTCGGGAGGCTGAGGCAGGAGAATAACTTGAACCTAGGAGACGGCGGTTGCAGTGAGCCAAGATCGCGCCACTGCACTCCAGCCTGGGCGACAAGAGCAAAACTCCGTCTCAAGAAAGAAAAAAAAAGTTTTTTTTTTTAGCTAAGAGACTATGAGAATAAAAAGTTTATCTTCAAATTCTTTTTTTTTTTTGGAAGACAGACAATTGTTTGTCCCCTTATCCCAAGCTGTAAATAAATATGAAATCCAGATTGCGGGAAACCAGTCCCAACCAACAGCTGTGCATTGGTAAAAACCTATGTAAGATTAGTTCTTTGCCTTGTTCGTGGGAGACTGTTTTTTTTTTTGGTTCTCCTTTGCTAGGCAAGAAATAAAATCAACCTTAAAATTTTTTTTTTTAAAACCCGGCGGGACGCAGTGGCTCACACCTGTAATCCCAGTTTTTTTTTTTTTGGGAGGCTGAGACGGGCGAATCACGAGGTCAAGACATCGTTTTTTTTTTTGCTAACACGGTGAAACCCAATCTCTACTAAAAATACAAACATTTTTTTTTTTATGGTGGCACACGCCTGTACCTGAGGCAGGAGAATGGCGTGAATGCGGGAGGCGGAGCTTGCAGTGAGCCAAGATCTCGCGCCACTGCACTCCAACCTGGGCAACACAACGAGACTCTGTCTCAAAAAAAAAAAAAAAAAGAAAAAAAGATCTCGCGCCACTGCACTCCTTTTTTTTTTTCACAACGAGACTCTGTCTCAAAAAAAAAAAAAGTTGCCAAATTTTTTTTTTTCTAAGAAAAATGCGGTATACTTCACGAATTTGCATTTCATCTTTTTTTTTTTGTCATTCCAATTTTGGTATACGTGCTACCCAAGCAAGCACAGTGAAACCAACTGTTTCAGGTAATATTTGAGAGTTGGTCTCTTTCCCCCACATTTTTTTTTTTCACCCCCAGAGAGTCTGGGGGAATACCCTGAAATCAGACATTTTTTTTTTTTTACATGCTTATTCATACTAAGTAGAAAGAATACAAAATACATTTTTTTTTTTGCCTCAGGTCAAAATGTGCTACCAAATAAATTTATCCCCAATTTTTTTTTTTAGCTTTTTGGATTTCAGAATTGCACGAAGAGGCTGTTTATCTTTTTTTTTTTTGTCATGGATGAAGGTGAGGCACAGATGGGTCAAGTAACTTGCCCATGACTACATAGCTAGAGAGTAGTGGAGTCTGGATTTAAACTCAAGGAAGCTGGTTCTGGAGCCCTATGTTGTTAACAGAAATACTATAATGCTTCCAATTTAACACCATTTTATCTCATTTAGTTATTACAACCAACTCATACTAGGTTGATTTTTTTTTTTTTGCCAAAATTTGCCCTTTTTAAAATTTTTTTGAGACAGGGTCTGGCTGTGTCACAGAGGCTGGAGTACAGTGGCGTTATCTTGGCTTATTGTTTTTTTTTTTTCCCAGGCTTAAGCATTCCTCCCACCTCAATCTGAGTACCTGTTTTTTTTTTTCCGCACCAACATGCCCAGCAATTTTTTTTTTTTTTTTTTTTTTTTTTTTTTTCTTACTCTGTCACCCAGGCTGGAGTACAGTGACGCCATCTTTTTTTTTTTTTACCTCGTGGGTTCAGGCAGTTCTCACGCCTCAGCCTCCCCAGTGCTGGAATTACAGGTGACCGCCACCATGCCCAACTAATTGTTGTTTTTTATTTTTTTTTTTGTTTCACCATGTTGGCCAGGCTGGTCCCAAACTCCTGACCATTTTTTTTTTTCCTGCCTCAGCCTCCCAAAGTGCTGGGATTACAGGTGTGAGCCACTGTGCCTGGTGCCCTGCTAATTTTTAAAAAATTTTTTGTAGAGATGAAGTTTCACTGTGTTGCCCAAGCTGGACCTTTTTGGTTTTTGGTTTGTTTTGTTTTGAGACAGGGTCTTACTCTGTGTCCCAGACTGGTGTGCAGTAGTGCAGTCTCAGCTCACCACAACTTTCACCTCCCAGGCTCAAACAATTCTCCTTCCTCAGCCTCCTGAATAGCTGGGATTAGAGGCACGTGCCACTACGGCCCGGCTAATTTTTTTTTTTTTTTTAGAGACAGGTTTCCCCATGTTGGCCACGCTGGTCTCGAACTCCTGACCTTAAATGATCCACCAGCCTCGACCTCCCAAAGTATTGGGATTATAGATGTGAGCCACTGCTCCCAGCCAAGCTGGACCTTTTTCGAAATACAAATATTAATATTTACTTCGTTTTGGTTCAACTGAATGTAACGTTATTCTCTTTTTGTTTTTTTTTTTTGTTTTTGCGGGGGAGACAGAGTCCTACTCTGTCACTAAGGTTTTTTTTTTTTGGAGCGATCTTGGCTCACCACAACCTCCACCTCCCAGGTTTTTTTTTTTTTCCTGCCTCAGTCTCCTGAGTAGCTGGGATTACAGGCACCACCACACCCGGCTAAGTTTTATATTTTTAGTAGAGATGGGGTTTCACCATGTTGGCCAGGCTGGTCTCAAACTCCTGACCTCGTGATCCGCCCATCTCAGCCTCCCAAAGTGCTGGGATTACAGGTGTGAGCCACTGCGCCCAGCCGACGTTATTATTTTACAGGGAGGAAATGGAGGTTCAGAGGAGATGCGCCAGTTCTAAGAGGTTAAGAGCCTGTGCTTTGGGTTAAATGAAGAACTGAGCTCTGATGCTAGCTGGCCTTTTTTTTTTTTCGCAGCAATTGTATTAATACTTCTCTGAATTTGTTTCCTCTTTTTTTTTTTAGACAGTAGTTCCTGTGGGCCAAATTTTGGAGGCTACAGTTTTTTTTTTTTTACAAACTTCACTAAGAGACAAGAGAACACATATATTATGTGTTTTTTTTTTTGACCCCCAGAACTGGCATGAATATTACTTGGAACTGAAGACTTTTTTTTTTTAACAGATGCAGAAAGACGCCTTTTCAAAGCTTCCCTTATGTGACTAACAGCAGAAATTTCTGGGAGTGAAGCTGCCGTAAATCTCCTCTCTAGACGAGTTTAGTGGCCAGAAAAAAAAGACAAAGACCACTTGCACCTGCAAAAATTTTTTTTTTTATCTCCCATTTGTTCCCCAGAAACCTGTTTGTTCTTCCCATTTTTTTTTTTTTCTCCCTCCTTTCCCCCTATTAAATGATATATATAAAGTAGTTTTTTTTTTTCAAGAAAAAAAAAAATTGTATAAATGCCAAATAACAGCCTCTTTTTTTTTTTTTTTTTTTTCTTTGAACTCCTGTATGCATATTTGAATAAAATTTTTTTTTTTTTTTTTTTCTGAGACAGGGTCTCACTCTGTTGCCCAGGCTGATCCTCCTGCCTCAGCCTCCCAAGCAGCTAAGACTGCACGTGTGCATCCTCATTTTTTTTTTTTTTTATTTTCTGTAGAGACTGGGTCTTGCTATGTTGCCCAGTTTTTTTTTTTACTCTTGGGCTCAAGCTCTTCTCTCTACTTGGCCTCCCAAATTTTTTTTTTTACAGGCGTGAGCCACTGTGCCTAGCCCTAAACTATCTTTAGTTTTTTTTTTTCAACCAATACGTATATTCCATGACTATGTATGGGCTATTTTTTTTTTTTTTTAAAAATATTTTTATTTTAGTTTATATGTATTTTTTTTTTCATTTTTTTTTTTTTAATAAATTGCATAACAATCAGTGGAGTTGTTTTGGCCTAGGAGATTAGCAGGAAAGTACTAAGGTAGTAAATATACTAGGTGTTTGGGAACCTCTGGCCTACTGGTTAAGAGCTCTGTATTCAAAGTTTGTGTTCGCATCCCATTTTTTTTTTTTACTAAACTGCATGAGCTTGTTGGGCAAGTTATTTAGCCTGTTTTTTTTTTTCTATATCTGTAAAATAGGGATGATATTAACACTACCTTCTTTTTTTTTTTTTGCTAAGGATTGCGTGAAAGGGCATTATGAAGCCCTCAACCCATTGCCTGGCACACCATACATATTCAATAAATTGGACAGTTATACAAAGAAATCAACTGGCCAGGGACAATGGCTCACACTT